GGATGACATGAAAATTTGTGAAGTATTCCATATCTAAAAATAAACAAATATATAAACAAACAAACTTGATATTCAATTCAATTCCTGAAAACTTCTAAGTATGTCTGGAACAACTTGGGTATATTAACCTATTTTTTCAACCCTAAATCTAATCTAAATCTAAATACAGATCGAGTATTTTTGATGAAATCTTGGCATCTGAATTAAGATGTAAATGTAAAATATACACCAAATTTTAAATGCTTAGTACAAAAAAGAATGTAAGATAGCTTATTAACAATTTGTTTATATTAATTGCATGTTGAAATTATAATATTTTAAGTATATTGCATTGAATAAAAGATTATTAAAATTGATTTCTCCTGTTCCTTTTTACTTTTTAAAGTGTGACTTCTAGGGCGCCTGGGTGGCTCAGTTGGTTAGGCGACTGCCTTCGGCTCAGGTCATGATCCTGGAGTCCCGGGATCGAGTCCCGCATCGGGCTCCCTGCTCAGCGGGGGGTCTGCTTCTCCCTCTGACCCTCTTCCCTCTCATGCTCTCTGTCTCTCATTCTCTCTCTCTCAAATAAATAAATAAAATCTTCAAAAAAAATAAAGTGTGACTTCTAGATTATTTTAAGTTACATGTTGGGTCACATTATATTACACAGCACTGATTTGGGGGATTCAGTTCCCATAGATACATACATACACACATACGTATGTGTATATATATACACACATATACACTTACATATAGATATATACATACAAATGTATATACATACGTGTGTGCATGTATTCCTTAATTTATTATTCGTACAAGCTCTGCCTCCCATAATTCCAGGCAGGGTTGTGCTGTCATGTGATAGCTCCAAATCCTTTCTCAGTTGATGGGTGGAAGATCCATTCCTGCACATGAAAGACAGTTTAGGTTGTATGGATGTCGAGAGCAGCATGTGCAAAAGCCTCTATTTTCAGAGATGAAATCAAAGCAAAAGTTTTAAAATGAAAATAACTTATGTCCAAGAACCAAAAAATGGCAATGCGCAGTCATGTTGGTTCCTTTTGTCTCTGAGGTTCTTTATGAACATTTTAAATCTCATCATGTCTATTAAGTTCAAAAGCCATGAGAATATTCAAAATGCTGTCTACAAAACAGTTTAGGATTACTGTAGAATCATACAAATTGGGAACACAGAAAATGATGGGATGAACTGACAGTATGAATGGTTCTGAAAAAAAAAAGGAATCATGTGGTATATGAAAGCTGTGTCTGCAGTTGATGATAATTAGCAATAGAGGCTAGAGGTGTTTGAGATGAGAGAAACTTGTTTGATCAGCATCAATGTTAAATGCCTGTTAGTTCAATTAGTTAAGAAGTTGAGGACTCCAATTAATCAGGTAAAACTGCTGCTAATGAAAAATGTCATAAGCCAAATATTTCTATGGATTCAACCCTCATTTGAATTGAATTTGCAATGCATCAGATGAGTAATGGAGCCATTAGAGAGGAATGCATCCCCCTGCTAAGGAGTTCCTTGTAGAGAACATTACAGTTACATGTGTGATTTCGGGGGTGGGTAATTACTTGTGAGAAATTTGGATGTAACTGGTTTATGCTGGGAAAAGATGTGGGCTAGAATGGACATCATCATGGAGAATGTCTATTTTGAAAGCCCAGAAGGTCAGACTCATCTTCCCATTTGGTGAAAACTGAGGTTTTTTTTTTTTTAGATTTAATTAATTTTAGCGAGGGGGGTGAAGGGGAAGAGGGAGAGAAAATCTCCAGCAGACTTCCTGCTGAGGGGCGCCTGGGTGGCGCTCAGTCGTTGAGCGTCTGCCTTTGGCTCAGGTCATGATCCCAGAGTCCTGGGATCGAGCCCCGCATCCGGCTCCCTGCTCTGTGAGAAGCCTGCTTCTCCCTCTCCCACTCCCCCTGCTTGTGTTCCCTCTCTCGCTGTCTCTGTCAAATAAAATCTTAAAAAAAAAAAAAAAAAAAAGACGACTTCCTGCTGAGCCCAAAGTGAGGGCTCTATCCCACAACCCCCGAGATCATGACCTGAGCTGAAATCAAGAGTCGGACGCTTAACATACTGAGCCACCCAGGTGCCCCCAAAATTTATGTTTTGAGGCGTAATAAATGTACTTAAGTCATCTGAGTTCCTCAAGAAGATTCTCCTTTTGGCCCACTCCTTTTCAGTTTATTTGACTTAAACAGATTAATGGTAGTGATTTTACTAGGTAAGTGTGGTTGGGAAAGTTGCTTACTGTTCCCTCCCTTGGTTTCCTATCTATAAAACCAAGGGTAATAAAAATAATAGTACCCTCCTGAAGCTGTTGAGAATTAAATGAGCTAATACATGAAATGTTAAGAAAAGGACATGGAACAGAGCAAGTGCTTACTTGTTAGCTATGGCTGTTATTACTAACATTCTTTCAGAGGCAAACTCATGGCTTCAACTGTCACCTCAGTTTTATGACTTCCAATCCATCACAGATCTTCATCCTACTATTCCATCTATATACTAGGCATCTCCACTTGGATATATATAAATGGCACCTAAAGCGAAATAAATCAACTATCTAAAATAGGATCTTCTAATCCAAACCACATTCTCTTTAAGTTTTATTTCTAATATATGTCACACTACTAATCTCAGAATCACTTCCTTTTATTCACATCCAGCATGATTGAGGTAAAGGAAAATGCTCTTTCTCCCTTTATAAAGATAATACTTGCTGATTGTAAAAAATTTGGAAAATATGGAAAAATCAAAAAGGAGAGACTGGGGAGATGGCCTGTAAGAGGTCAGGTTAATTCTAAGTGATTGGATAAAATTATATTTTGTCTACATTAAAAAACGATAAAAATAAGGGTGGTTAAGTCAGTTAAGCGCCAGATTCTTGGTTTTGGCTGAGGTCATGATCTCTGGGTCTTGGGATTGGGCCCCAGGTGGGGCTCCACACTGGGCTTGGAGCCTGCTTAAGATTCTCTCTTTCCCTCCCCCTCTGCACACCACCCGCCCCCACCCTCCATCCCCCCTTCTGCACATGGATGCTCTCTAAAATAAATAGAATCTTTAAAAAAAACACAAAAATTTTCCATAACATTTTAAACTTCCAGTTCAAAATTTCAACATATTTCATTTGTTTGGTATTTTCCCAGATAATTAAGACCCTACTGTATGTACACAGGGATGTGATCTTTTTATACCTAATGTCTTCACCACTGAAATTTTCTAAAACATTTTAAACTAAGATTTTAAAATTCAAATTTCCAAAGTAAACTTTAATGACTTGCTTTTGTTTTAGGGCTACAATATATACTCAGATATTCCTGAGGAGAATAATTCAATTCTTACAAGTTTTCTTCTGCTCTTTGTTTTGCTTCCTCCGGTATTTGTTCTAAGCTGGTTATTACACTGGATATTCTAAAAAGCCTGCTGGGACCTTGTTTTCTGTAGTGAAAAGATGAATGAAGGGGCTGTGTAGGTGAGTGTAGAGTTCTCTGCCTTCATCCATGGTAGAACAATTGAGGAAGTCCCACTTATGTGAACACAAATTGTTAGTAGGTGTCATGTCTCACTTCATTTGTACTGCTTCGGGGGTCCCAGCCCAAAATGATTTTGTAGGAAAGAAAATTATTCTGTTGTACATTAATAGAATTTTGCTTGTTTTAAATTGCTCTCAAGAACAGAATGATTATAAAGCAGAAGTGTTTTTTTCTTTTTAAAAAGATTTTATTTATTTGACAGAGAGAGACACAGTGAGAGAGGGAACACAAGCAAGGGGAGTGGGAAAGGGAGTGGGAGAAGCAGGCGCCCCAGAAGTGTTTTTTATAAAAAAGAACAGGTGTGGAGGATGTATCTGACCACAAAAATACAAAGAACTCTAAACCTCCTTTTCAAATTAAACTGTGTAATTTCATAAATCAGATAATTTAATCAAAACAATACTGTTTTTAAAAATGGTAAATGTATTTTTTATTGTTGAAATATAATTTGAATTCAAAGAAGTATTTTCCAAACCTGATGTAAGTTCAAAAGTATCACCAATTTGACTTTGTTTTTATTTTTGAAAGATTTTATGTATTTATTTGACAGAGAGAGAGAGATCACAAGTAGGCAGACAGGCAGGCAGGCAGAGGGAGAGGGAGAAGCAGGCTCCCTGCTGAGCACCGAGCCCAACGCCGGGCTGGATCCCAGGAGACTGGGATCATGACCGGAGCTGAAGGCAGATGCTTAACCGACTGAGCCACCCAGGCTTTGTTTTTAAATTATCAGAATATTTAACTTCTTTAATAAGTTGATTTATTTCTGTTCTGAGAAAGCCATTCAATAAAAGCAGTCTTGGGGTGCGGGCTGGGAGGAAGTAAATAATTTTGAAGATTTGGAAAATACAGATGACATGCTGACACGATTACTATAAACATTTTGGTATATACTGTTCTGCTATTGAAATATATATATATATATATATATATATATATATAAAAATCTGGGGGGCTCTTCAAATTATACAATTATAATCGTCCAAAAACAGTACCTGTGGCCTACCTTTTAATTATGCACTTTTAATTTTCTCACATATTCTTTCAAAATACATGAATTTTAACATGTATGCTTCCGTATTCACACGTGTCCGACATATATTTAACCAACAGCCTCCAGAAAGGTGTTTCCAATTTACACGCTCACCAAAATGGCCTGAGCTTTTCCCTTCCACAGCATCACGTAATTAAAATTAAGAAGAAACGGCCCAAAGTTTTGAGAATCCATCCGGTACAACATCGTCCCGCTAGTCTAGTTACTAGCCCTTGGTCCGAGCGCGCTCTTGAACTTTCCCTTCCCTCGTCTCACAGCCGACTCTCTCACAGAAGATATCCGACCTGGCCTCTGCAGGACCACGCAGAGCCTAGGGCGGGGCTGGCCAGAAGGCTACGAGCGGCGGGAGAGAGGCGGACGTCGGCGTGGCGCACAGTGCTGATGCAACACGCACGCGGGGCGGGGCGGGCCGCTTGTCGGCCGGCGACGGCGCTGCGTCAGGGGCTTTGCGGCGCTTTGCTCCTGGAGACGGCGACCGCTGTGGGCCTCGGCTTTGGCCTCCCGCGCCCTGGGAGTCAGGTCTCGGCGCGATGAGGCGCAGCAAGGCTGACGTGGAGCGGTATATCGCCTCGGTGCAGGGTTCCGTCCCGTCGCCCCGAGAGGTGAGCGGGTCCTGGAGAGCCGGGCGGCCTCCGCCCTGGCCCTGCCGCGGCCCCGCGCAGCGCCGGCGTCATGGCTTCTGGCGGCCGCCGCTCCCTGGCGCGTTGAGGCGCCGGCCGGCTCCCGCGGTCCGGTGGGCGGCGTGGCGCTCGCGAGCTCGGGGGCGGGGAGGGGGGGCAGGCCGCGGCGGGCTGCTGTTGGCGCCAGCTCTTCCTCTTTCTCCTGGCCTGCTCCTGACGGTCATTATTCGCGGGCCCATTCCGTCCCGGGGTTTCTCGGCTGCGTCGGCGCGGCCTCGTCACCGGGGCTGCGGAGCCTGCCATTTGCGGCGGGGTTTCTTCTCGTCTCCCGGACAGTTTACCGCTGCGGCGGAAGCGGCACCTTCCAGGCTTTGGAGGTCGATGGAACCCAGCGGGGGACTGACGCAGCTCCGGGGTGGGCTTTTACTGCGGTGACGGTGACGGGCAACCATCATAGGCATCTAGCGGACCGGTGCAGGGATAGCTACACTTAAAACTCCCTGACAGACCGCGCAAATGACACTGGTAGACCCCCCTATTTTGAGGCATCTGTCGTGCGTTTATAAGGATTCTGCCCCTCCTCTTCACATTCCCACTCTCCCATTCCCAGCACTCTTAAGAGGCTGCTTTTATTTGCCTTTATTTTTTTAAAACGCAATCTTGGGTATTCTGAATTTCTTACAGGCCGTTGTTACTATGGCTTAAAATTTTTAATCTTTTTGACAACATGCTCAGCGTATTTTTTCTCTTTTAAGGTAATGTAGCAGATATATTTTGGGTTTTTCAGAATTTTAGTGATTGGATGTGGAGGGTGAGGAAAAAGGCTAAGGGTGGTGTGCACAGGATCTTGAGTCAGTTTGCTTGGGAGTTGAATCACAGCACTGCCATTTATTTATAAGCTGTGTGATTTGAGGCAAGTTAAACTTAATAAGTTGGAGTAATGGTATTGGTAGGAGTATATAGGATGACTCATGGTAAACATTTAGGGCAATGCCTGGCACATAGTAAGCACTAAACGTTGATGTTAAAAGGACAGTCATTCAAGGTCTCTTCTGGGTAAGGGCCTATGAGAATAAAGATGTGTGAGGAAATGAAAAGAAACCCAGGGATTAACATGGTTATAATAGCTGCATAATTGTGTCTTTAACAATATAGTAGGCATATGTCTTTGTAGGATTTTGGTAATGGGTCTGATTTAGTTTCTTTTAGGAATAATGGAGTAGGTTACAGCCGGTTCCAGCAGAGGAAAGGAATAGGTACCTACATACAGATTGTAATTTTAAACTGCTGGCATAGTCATGAACAACAAATGTGGTGCCAGAGTCTAAAACAGAACTTCATTAAGGGTTTCTGTACGCTGACATTGACATACTTTTTAAAAAGCCAAGTTTAGAGATTTCATGAGATTTTTAGTGGGGACCCTGGCTCCCAAAAGATTAATATCTTAATTCTGTAGACAGAATTTAGAATGTTCTTTGAACTACCTAACTTTTCCATCAAATAAAGGGGAGGGGTGGAGTCAGAATTTTAAGGACTGGTTATTAATGCTACCTCTGTTTTACATTTAAAGAGTATTATTTTAATCAGATGTTTTTCTTCATACAGGAGAAATCATTTACTTTAGAAATTGGGGATTTCAATTAGCAAGTGAGTAACTGTAACAGGTGATGGCATTCTATAAATTTAGGTCTAAATGAAAGGGCAAAACAGTGCTTTGGATAGCATTGAAGGGAGAGGGTGGAAGAGGCAGAGACAGTGGCTTTTAAGAGTAGAAAGATTAGTATTTACTTGGCTCCCAGTTTGGTAAAGATCCGCCATGTGTGACTGGCGATGCTTTCTGGGATGTCCCAGGTTCTGGAATGCAGTGATGGGTCCATAGTCTTACCTTCCCAGGCTTCCATTATGCTTTCATTTGTTTGTCTCTTTTGTTTTGTCATTTTCTATTCCTTCAGGCCTGCTTTTGTCCTTTTTGAAAATATCACTTGTGTTTCTTCAATTTTTCTTTCTCTAGTTGCCTTCTGTTTAGTTTTCCTAGATTTCTCGTGAGTTGGTCTCCCAATCCGCACCCCTAATTCCTACTGCTCAGACACAACCGGACAGCTCTTAGTTGTTTGTTTACCATATACTTCAGACTTGTGAATAACACAGTACATACTTTTATTTCTCTCTCTCTTTTTCCACATTATAGATACTTTATAATCTGTCCTCCAGATCTCTGTCCACAGATCTTTCTCCCCCTCATTCTTCCAGTTTCATTGTTGTAATTTTTGGTTAAACGAATAGTTTGTGTTTATATAATTATGATAAGGTACATATTTTTGCATTTGAGCCACCTTTATTGCATAGTTCTATTTTTCTTGAAGTTAATAGTTTATTTTTTTGGTTTGTTGAGTTATCTAGGATGTATTACTAATTCTTTTTTTTTTTTTTTTAAGATTTTATTTATTTATTTGAGAGAGAGAGAATGAGAGAGAGCACATGAGAAGGGGGAAGGTCAGAGGGAGCAGGGAGCCCGATGCGGGACTCGATCCCGGGACTCCAGGATCATGACCTGAGCCGAAGGCAGTCGCTTAACCAACTGAGCCACCCAGGCGCCCAGCTTAAAAATTTTTTTAAGGGTCTTTCTTATGGAGCACTCTTGTCTTACTGCTGCAGTCTGGATTGGCTCCTCCTCTTTGCTACACAGTTCTAGCTCTGGGAGTTGGCTTATCATCATCTTGAGAATTACCTTCACTTCTTTTCTTAGACCCTTGGTTTCTTGCAATTCATGTCCTTTTGACTTTCTCTGTTTTGGTGTAGCACAGTCTCCAGTTTGCTTTGAGAAGGAATGGATGGGATTTTTTTTTTTTTTTTAAACATGGTATGCCTGAAAAAGTTTCACCTAATTTATAGTTTGATTATCAGAGTCTAGGTTTGAAATAATTTTTTCCTTCAATTTCGAAAGTATTGCTTCATTTTCTGATCATTTGTATTGTTAGAAATCTGATGTGATTCTTGTTATTGATAGCTTGTAGGTTTTCTGGAAGTTTCCTTTCAATTGGAAAACTCATTTCTTCCAGTTCTGGGACATGGTGTTATTTCTTTGAGCATTTCTCCCCCCATCCCAAGCTCTCCTTTCCCCTTGCCCCAATCTTACGTTTTTGCTAAGTGAAAGGTGGTTCTGGTTTGATCATCCATATATTTCTTTCTTACTTGTGTCTTTTTGTTTTATTTTTAACCTTGTCTTCCAGGGGAAGGAGATTGGGGAACTCACCACCATTCAGTATCTAGACTTTGCTTATCTGCTTTTATAACCCCTGCCCTCACCCTTGTCAGGACTTCTTAAGTTTGGAGCCCCTTGGTTTATACTGAGAAAAAATCCATTTGCTTAAGCTTTTTGCAGGGGGTGTTCCAGACCTGGGGTGATGGAGAGTCATTTGGCTGTGCAAGAGGAGGGTTAATGTGACAACTCTCCGGGTCTGAATGTTCTTGTTTTCAGCCCCACATCAGTTTTGATAGGAGTGTAAATGAATTTAAGTTTTTACTTACAGTGGCATAAAGTATCATGGAAAGAAGCAGTGACTGAATCATGGATGTCCTGGATCATGGACTGACTGAATTATGGATGACATTGGCTCTTTTCCTTCCTACCTGTGTATCCTTAAACAAGGCACTTTACCCCCTTAGGCTTCAGTTCCTTTATGAAATGAGCAGAATGAAGACAGAAGACTATCAAATTTCCCCCCAATTTTATGGTTCTATATATTATTATTTAATAATTGCTGTTCAGTTATCCTGAGATAGTCTTTTTTTTTTTTTTTTTTTAAAGATTATTTATTTATTTGACAGAGACACAGCGAGAGAGGGAATACAAGCAGGGGGAGTGGGAGAGGGAGAAGCAGGCCTCCCGCCAAGCGGGGAGTCCAATGTGGGGCTCGATTCCAGGACCCTGAGGTAATGACCTGAGCTGAAGGCAGATGCTTAATTACTGAGCCACCCAGGCACCCCAATCCTGAGATAGACTTTAATGAGATATTTCGAGGCAAAATAGACAGTGGAGTTGATTTTTCTATTATGTGTTGACATTGTAACTTGTGGGAATCTATTCATTTTCTGTTCATTTTAATGCCCATCTTGACTGTTGTGTATTATTGTAATAAACTGCTTCATAGCTCTTATGGATTTGGGGAGGGAAAGGAAGGCTCTGTTATGATTACAGTTCTAGCCTCCTTGTTTTTCTCAGGTTTTTTATTAATATTGAAGTTTAAGATTGCTTATAGTTTTTTACTTTTATATTTATTTTAAAAAAATACTTATTTGAGAGAGAGAATCTGAAGCAGACTCCACACTGAGTGCAGAGCCTGGCGTGGGGCTCGATCCCATGACCACGAGATCATGACCTGAGCTGAAATCAAGAGTCAGATGCTTAACCAACTGAGCCACCCAGGCACTCCTCTTATTCTTTACTTTTAAAATATATCCTGTTAAGGATGTATACTCAATACTGTCATACTGAGGTCACTTGGAATAATTTTCTGAGAATATGTCACTATTTTGACATAAAATGAGAGTATATTTTATACAGCTTTATTGAGATACAGTTCACATGCCATACAGTTCACCATTTAAAGTGTACAGCGTAATGAATTTTGGTATGTTACATTATTGATGTTTTAAGTTGTAAAATATATGTAATCTGCCATTTTAATGCCTTTTTAAAAGTTTTTAATTTTAATTCCATTATTAACACTGTTCTATTAGTTGCAGGTGTACAATATAGTGATTATATTATAGTGATTATATAGTGATTATACAGTGCTCATCATGATAAGTATACGTCTTTAATCCCCATCACCTATTTCACCCATCCCTGCTTCCACTTCCCCTCTGGTAACCATCAGTTTGTTCTCTGTAAGAGTCTGTTTCTTGGTTTCTCTCTCTTTTTTTTCCTTTGCTCGTTTGTTTTGTTACTTAAACTCCATATGAGTGAAATCATATGGTAT